GTTCATCAATATTCATTTTTAAATGTGCTAACCCAGGTGAAAAAGACGTAGTATTAAATGTATTAAAAATATACTTGAAATTCAAGTAGTATGTTTATAATACATTTGTATTCCCAACATGCTTATTTGAAGTGCAATAAAAATATACTGAATTGCATTTTAATATATTTCTAAAAAGTATACTAGAAATACTTTTGTATTAAATATATGCTTAGTTATACTTCTAAGAAATATGCTAAACAGAAGCATACTTTTAATGTATTTATAAAAAGTATACTAGAAATACTTTGGTAATAAATATATGCTTAGTTACACTTGTAAGGAATATGCTAAACACAAGCACACTATTAGTATATTTCTAAAAAGTATAGTAGAAATACTATGTTAATAAATATATTTTTAGTTACACTTTTATGGAATATGCTAAACACAAGCATACTTTTAGTGACTTTTTAGTTTATTTAAAGAAAACATACTTATGTTACCCTTACTTAAAGTATATTTTATGTCTACTTTGTGTAAGAACATAACAAAATGATTTCACTTTTAGTGGGTTTTTAATGTACTTTATATTGCAGTATATTTCTTTTTCACCTGGGAATTTAACCATAGCACTAAAAAAAATTATTTCAAAACAAATTTCACTCAGATATTGTTAATACATTTTGTAAATAATTGCTAATGACAAGTAACACATTGAATTGAATGTGAAATTCTGAAGTAGGACTGAAATTGTATTTTCTTGTAAATTGTACTCCAATAATATTTATTTTACTTTAACTGAAATGTTCCCTTCACATTTTATACTCTCATTGTTTCAATATTCTCATTATTTCAAATATGTGTATGCATTAATCTGTTCAGTATTTTTGTGAATTTATGCTCTTAATCATTTTTACAGTGGTCAGCAGTCCCAGCTGACAAACTTTTTGTTTGCCTGATTATCTCAGTGAACTTGGATGCTAGCACCCCCCAACCCTTCAAACGAAAAAAAAAAATTCATTTGAAGAACACAAATCAGGAACCACAACAGGCATAGTTTGTTTTTATTATCAGACAGGAAAAATTATCTAAACACCATATAAGAAAAGACAAAGTTAAAAAATACTCCCAAAAAATTATTTCTCAAATATATTTGCAGGGACGAAGGCTGTGCACTTAACATTTTCCACACAAATAGAGGATGCCGATGTGAATGTGCAAATAGATGATGACAGTTCAAACTTGCTTGAGAAGGGAAATATTCAGTGTTACAACTGTACTCGGTCTACACATGGTCAAAACGGGATCGAAGTTTTGACCATGTGTCTCTCGCGTTATACAGATATGAAATAGAAGCCTCAAACTAAACTGTAATTTCATTATCAGCCCCCTCTGTTGTGAGCTAATATTGCACTTTCAAGTTTAGCCGTTTCATTTGAAGCAACTGCACCTAAAATCATTTAAAGGTCCTTTACTCTGGTCTAAAATAGCACAGTAACCCAATCAATAGATTGCACCTTGCCTCATGTGGCACAGATAATCTATTCAGAGCTGTATCTCACTGGGCTCTCTGCTCAGACCAATATTTATCTGAGCTCAGAATCAGCATCATCTCTTATACTGAACACGCACACACATATATACAAGTACACCAACTAGGACAGACCAAGCTAGCAATGACCTCTGACATGGTGACCTGTTGTCTGATGGCCCATCGATTATGTCTGGGCTTTACTGTGTAATTGTTGGATTGTAATTACATTACATTTTATTTAGCCCATAATATGGGCTTTTTTTTTTTTTTTTAAAGATGCTTTGACTTTTACCTTTTTGTTTTGTGTGACATTTTATTGTCCAACTGTTTCAAATTTTTATTTTTGTTGTCGTTGTTGTTGTTGTAGTATTATACTGTATTACTCACACTGAAGCAGCAATACTAAGTCTGACAGAAAAGTAATCAGGCATGTCTCTGTCTTACCCTCAAGGACCCCTTTAGTGGGACTTAGAATTTTCCATTAGGCACAGAGGGCTTGGTTCCCGTTGCTATGTTTCCGGGCTCATTGACTGCGTAACCATGGGGAAATGAGAGACAAAGCCTTGCGTCTTCTGGCGGGAGTTGTCATGGGAAACTCGGGGTTCAGGTCAATGATTAGCAGATTTGAAATCAACTTTGTAAACTGGAAATTGGATGAAGGAACCTGTGAAGTATGCTGCATTTTTATTTATTATTTAGTTATTATTTTTTAGCATGATTAAAATAGAATGCCATTATTTTATTGAATGCTGGGTGCATTTTTGGTACATCTGTGCACACTTTGTGTACATAAAGATAGATTTTAATCATCTTTAATCTCTCTGGTATCATCGCAACATGAAATAAAATAGAATTTAAAAAATAACAGAAAACATTTTCATACCACTGGTAATAAGTATGAAAACAGAACTTCCAGAAGGAGAATTAGAAAAGATTATGTTCTGTTGAATCTCTCAACTTGACATGAAGTTGTGAAACCTTTTTGCTGCGGTATTAAAACTGAAACAGCGGTTCTTTGATGTTGGCCACTGATGCTGCTGTGTAAGACTTCAAAACCTTAGCGTAAATTGAGTTTGTTGTGTATACAAGCACCTGCCAGATTTAATATTGAAAGGATGATCCAAAATGGATTTTTGATCCCAGTAAAATGAGGAAAGATGTCTGAAACAACAGGAAAAGGGAGGGGGGATATCTATAGCCTGCCAAAGCTGAGATTTCTGCTCCCAGGTGAAGAATATATATGTTCTCGTCCTTCTGTGTTTCCTTTTGATAGGCGGGTTTCCATGTAAAGAAAAACCTATAGGTCTGACCTTCTTACTACTTTGCCTCTGGCTATTCACAGATTGCATGTTTTTTTGTGTCTCATCCTTAGGGGGTGATCCGAATCAAACCGGCATAAATATTTCAGTGCATTTTTCCTGCTCCTCTGGACCTCTTGTTAATACACTTGCTGTGTTTGACAAGAAAAATTGTGTCTGTTCACATTAGTGGTTAAATTGTCCCCTTTATACTAAAATGTGTGAACAATATTATTAGTGTAATGGTGATATAACATATATTCATTGTATTGAATGAAGTCAAAACCAATATACAAAATATAATACATACAAAATCACATATTTAAATTTCCTTGATTAGTTAATAAAAATATGGTTTCCACTTATTGTTAAAAAAAACTGTTATCATTATCATTAAAGCACTGTTTTTTTTTTTGTTTTTTTTTTTAATTGGTTTGGTTCCATTTTCATAAGGTGTACATTTTCAAAACTTAGTACAAAACTTTAAACTGATCACACTTGTAATACCACTAGTCATTCTTTCAAAACCTGATCTCATGATTTCATTGTAGTTGCACATATTTTCATTCCACATAATCATTGTGATATGTATTGAGAACATTTGGTTTAATCACCAAAACACAACAGTGAGATCTTTTTTCAACTTAGTACTTTTAACAACCAGTTCATTCAATAGCAAACAATACAAGGTACAGGTTTCAAATCACCCTCAGTGCTGAATGAATGTTACTGTACTGTAAAACTGTATACACAGCAAATGTTACACTTACGTTCAGACAAACTGACAAAAGCTATATTAAAAAAAAAAAAAAAAAAAAAAAAAAA